CCACCCACCCCACCCCAACAACACAAGTTCAAGAGAAAATGTTAATCGAATCCGATATTTACATTAAGTAAATGAATTGAAAATATTTTACTTTGGTTAATCAATGTGGAGTATATTGTTACTTTAACTTTGTGACCATTATAGTTAAATTGTTTGATTTGGTATAACACTGAATATGAGTAAGTACCTGGTCCCTCGATCTTATATCATCTTTCAATAAGGTGGTGCTGATCTTTCGCTGTGTTCCATTTTGTCTCATGGCTAGGAAAAAAAATGGTAAAGTTGTTGTCATATGATCAGGAGGTCATGGATTCAAGTCCTAAAAATAGTCTCTTACCAAAATGCAGGGTAAGTTTACGTACAATAGACCTTTGTAGTCCCGCTTTTTCCCAAACCCCGCTATGAAAAAAACGACTTCAAAGTAATACCGACAGTGTTAGATGAAGTAGAGTTTGGTAGTAGGTGAAATGATAATCGTCAGTTCAAAGATTCTGAATTCGTTTCTGTTTATTTGTCATAGTAAATCTGTATGTGATTAGGATCTGAGCAACCGTTGATGAGTTGATCAATTTCTTATGTTGCAACCATAGGATGTTCTGAGTTCAGTTGTAAGTATTGAACAGTGACAAGATATTAAATATAGTAGGAAACAGAACCAAACTACCAAAAGAGCAGAAAGGTCCCCACATCATTCATTCATGTTTCCATATCAAGCAACATTACATTACATGTGCATTCATTTGGTCCTATCCTCAGTTAAAACCCACAGAAAATGACCCCACTAAACTTAACCTACAACCCAACAAATTAACGTATCACCACACAATTATTATTATTACAAGAAAAACCACAAGGCAAGGCGCTCACTCTCCTTTGGAGAGGGCTACTAGCAGTTACACACAACAACAACAACAACAACAACAAAAGTAGGAAAAAAAAAAAGGAAAGAGCCTTGGATACTTTTATATGCTGATCCAAACGGCTACTTTTCCTTTAAAAAAAGACACAAAGAGCTAATTGAGGGACTGGTATCTTAATTTTTCAGTAATTGGGAGCCAATTAGAAGAAGTTAAGACGAGAGGTGTAAGTGGCTTTAGGAGACCAATTGCCTGGAATAACATCTCTAGCTGAGAGGGCTTTTCCAGTTGACAGTGTTGTTAACTTCACTGAAAAAGGTCCTTGCAATGGTCCTCCAATTATGCACCAATTTGCTCCCCATATATGTGTCATCTCTAACCATACATTCGACTTCGCCTGAAAAATTAGCAAATTTTAGAGTCTTTTTAAAAAAAATTCAAAATTCTTGTCTGTCTGATGATAAAGGAAAAAGAATCTACCCTTCATAAAAAAATGAGGGAAGAAGACATTTTTAATTGTATTTGGTTGAAAAGAGGGCCGAGGGTTTATCAGAAATAAACTCTCTACCTTCACAAAGTTGGGGTAAGGTCTGTGTACAGATTACCCTCCCCAAACCCCACCTACGGGATTATACTGGGTTTGTTGTTGGTTGGTTGAAAAAAGGAGGTAACTTTTGTATGTATTGAACACTTTTGCACTATTGTAAAACAGTACAACAACAACAACCCAGTATAATCCCACGTGTGGGGTCTGAGGAGGGTAGTGTGTGCACAGACCTTATCCTGCCCCAAAGAGTGGAGAGGTTTCCGAAAGACCCTCGGCATGAAAAGGAGGCAACACTATTGTAAAACAGTGATAAAAAGAAAAGCATGTGGAAAGTGATTGAAGTGCATAATACTTTGGACAAACAAGTCAAGATGGAGAGGAACTTTTCATATTCATACACAAAAAGGAGAAACGCTATCTATATTGTTGGTAAAACAATGGTGTGATTGTGGCAGAGAGAGTATCAATGTAGGCCAAATGAATCTTTCATATGTCAAACAAAGATTTTTTGCTTTGTCTGGTATCACGTGATTCTTAAAGTTCTCTTAAAGCTACTAAATATTCGGATTTGTCTAATATATTTCAGATTTCTTGTAAATTGTAAAGAGTCTTCTAAAGCAGAGCTTAAATTTTTTTTAAAGGTTCTTTTTGATAACCGTGAAAGTATAGACCATAACATGTTTCCTCATCCTTTATACTAGTACTCGAAAGCTTCTTTTGACTAGGAAGCTTTCAATCTTCAGTTTGACCAATTAAATAAAGAGCTTAAGCTATACACAAATTGTTATTTTGTAGTGTAAATACTTTGTATATTGGGCGAAGCCCAGTAAGAAGTTATGGATTCATTTGAACTAATATATAGTTTTGCCTTGGGGTGTATATGTATTAATAATCCTGGACCTGTATATGTATTAATAATCCGACTAAGTGCAAAAAGTATATTTTGAACCCAGTGAAGTGGTGCAATTTCGAATTTGAATCCATAAATTTTAAATTCTGGCTTGTCTCCGAGTGTATATAAATATAAGCGGAGACATAAGACATGTACCTCTCTAATATGCATGGATCCAACATCACCATCTCCATCCTCAAATTCAACAAGAAGAGAAAGCCAGTAAGGTGTTGACCCTTCATTTACATGGAAGGCTATGTTCTTTCCAGGGTACTTACATGGAGTTCTACAACCACAAATTAAAGAATATTAGTGCCCATCATCTGTCTAAAATGTAAAAGTTACTACTTAATAAATTACTGTGAGGAAAAGAGAATAATATTAGTCCTCCAAAGAGAAGATAATAATAAAAATCTCTTGAAAGTTAACCACAAAAATGGTGAAATAAATATGGTCAGAGGAAAAGTAGGTCAGCAGTCAGACTCCAATTCATGCAAACCAAGGAAGTAGCAGTGAAGTTTTTGACCAAAAAGGATATAAAACATACAGAAACTATACACAAAAAAAACAGAATATAATTCACTTTTTCGTGTGTGAATATGCGCAAATAACTAAGCAGCATTTAATCAATACTAAAATATATCACAGCAAATAAAAAATGACCAAAAATATTTAGAAATAACCCCAACACAGTCACTTAAGTCAGGGGTGTCATTGTCAACAAAAATAGTACTACTCTGCCTTGTCAAAAACTTTATGACATATGGTACATTAATTAACAAACCATTAAACACTAATTGACAAAACAGAAAGGAAAAAAAAACAAGACCGTTATAACAAGAATAAAAAATGACAAAAGTTCCTTACCGGCGGTAAATGACGGAGATAACACCACGGTCACGGAGGCTACCGCCGTAACCGGAAACAGCCATGTGGCCAAAGGCGGCGCCACTAAGGTCGAAGTGAACTCTGCCGCCGGAACAGTACCCACCTGGACATTCGTCGGTAATAATCACCGTCGCAGCTCTTCTTGAACAAACGGAACGGTCCAAACACTTAACTTTATAGCAGGCCCCACATCCTTCACCATTTTTGAACAAAATTGGACTCACTGCCCCTACTC